TTCTTTGCTGTTTGAACGGCGAGTTCGACTCGATTCTGAACGGAAAGCACATTACTAACATAACTCGCTTCAAGAGACGAGTTCTTGGCTCTTCTTCGATGCCATCCCGGCGCCAATTTTCACGATAATCGAACAGTGTGATCCAGTCGTCCAAAAGTTGCATGACGACTACACTTGCGATGCCGTGTACATCAGAGGTTCCATATAGCTGAGGAGCCATTTGTCGGGACGCGAGACGAGCGTGAACCTCCTTCCCATATGGGCGAAGAACCACCTTTGCAAACACTTTGGTTCCACCAAGAGTCGCGTCGAAGAGGAGGTTCAGGTAATCGATGGTTCCAATTGAAGTTTCCCAATGCTCTTTGAGAAGCTTTTTGAACTCGAGCTTTTCGTTCTGATTCGTCTCGGTATTGAGAACTTCGGAGAACACGCGTGGGCAGCCTGGTTCGTATTTTGGAGGTATAGCAGGTCTAGGTAGAGAGTTAGAAGGCAACAGCTAGGATTAGAAATACCGTACATCGTAATCACTCTCTCTAGAGTCTTGAAACAAGAATAAAGAGCAAAGAGGTGTTGCGCAAGTTGGATAATTTTGCCATCCGGAAAAGAGTCTGGGTACAACAAGTCGCATGAGAGCGGCTCTACAACGACTTGCTCCCCAACTTTAAAGGCACCAGCAATCCTAAGTTCGTCGTCTGCGCGAGTTATGTTAGTAATGTGCTTTCCGTTCAGAATCGAGTCGAACTCGCCGTTCAAACAGCAAAGAAACGTTGGAGCGCCACAGGCTAGAAAATCTGGATCCTGCTCTCTCAATGCTTCGGTGTGCACCTCATATCTCCTACTCGCTTGCATGTATGCATCCCCGCTTTCCTTTCCGTTCTTGATTTCTGTGAGCACCATAGGAATTCCCCTCTCCAAGATGGCCCCTTCGGTTTCCGTTGTTTCTTGTGACATTATTCCGTTCCCTGCCATCCATCGAGCAAAGAGCGGTTTTATAGTCCGAAATAATGTAGTCTTTCGAGTACTCTCTTCATCAAAATAGTCCCCCATAGTGTTGCACAATGTCCTAGCGACTTGGAGCGCAATCCTTGCCTCTCGGGTTACAGGGAGGGGTTGCTTGCCGAGCGAAAGATATTGGGCGAAAACACCGTGGAGCAAGAAAATAGGTAGGCCACGGCACTTGACTGGGCGCATGCAAAGCATTGGGTTCAGGAGTTGTTGTGAATCTGCCCAGTTCCTAGCCGTTGCGTACTCTGGCGGTGGTGGTTTGCTAGTCAAGATGACTTTAATGTCTATGGATAGTTAGGCTTAGCTTTCCCAAAATGGTTCATCCAATTGAATACATGCCTGGTAGCCTCTGTCTTGCCTTCTGGATAGCCCGGATAGACCCGTTGAGGTGTTTGATCGCTCGTTTATGGACCTCCTCACCGTCCTTCGCCGCATCATTGATGTAGTCCTCGAATTGAATTTGGCTCTGTTCTAAGCAGGAGTCCATCTCCTTGAACTTGGCGTCCAAAGTTTTGACATCCTTCACCTTCTGCATCTCCTCAAGATCTATCTTCAATATGCGCATGTTTAATGGGACCACACCATCCCTGTCTTCTTTATCTTCCCTTTTGTTGAACTTTCTGAGGGGTTCGTCCGTTGCAGGCTGCAATAAATCCAGCCAGTCGTCTATCATCCTCTCTATTTTACTTCGATACGGGAGGACCTTTTGTCTTTTGGTTTTCCGATCATCTTTGTCTGTATCTTCGTCGGAACGATCCAGAACTGAGCGTTTGGGAGGCATGTCGTTAGCGAGGCAAGTTTCAAAGTGCCAGCCATTCTTTACATTTTACTTTTGCCACAGGCCATTTTCGGCAACAATGCAGAATCTTGCGGCCTACCTCGCCCCAAAACCATGTCTGCTTGGGATATTGAATATATTATAGAAGTCAACCACTTCTAGATTTTCTTATTCTCTCTCATTCTGCGGATGCTTGAGCATCGCTATGTTTTAGGCATTTGATCCATGCTCCAGCGTTACCCGACAGCAGGCGCATGAAGCCCAGAAATATACCTCAGGATATATATCTGCTGGTTTTCAATGGCCACGTGCAAATTAGCGAGCTATACTATGTAATACTCCTCCAGCCAGTCTCGCTGCACCTTCTCACCAGCTTCGACTTTCACCAGAGAACGTAGAATTCTCGAATATTATCAAACCTAGTATTCTATCCCTGATTGTCATCGCATATCAGCATACCATAAATTGTGCTGCCTGAGGTACTGTTTCCAAAGTTACCCATGTGTTTGGTCTCCGCCCGAATTGGCTGGGCCCATGCTGACACACAAATCTACCTGCTAGCTTACCTTCATCCTCAACTATATCCTTTACTGTCTCAAGTCGCCTACAGCTCCAGTTTTTGCTAGCCCGCTGTGTTCCAGTCTCCATAGCCTTTCTCGACCCGTAAGTCTGGCTCGCCATTCTCCAACCAGGCGAATCTGCTGACTCCTGATAAAGATTGACGATGATATGTCTCGAGGCGGTCATCTGAATAAGGGAGGAGAGGGTGTGGCTCTGTTGGACATGCAAATGTGGCGTCCACAAGGTCCACCCTCTCCCCCCCCCCCCTTCTCCACTTGGTCTATCAGCCAGCAC